TAATTCTGTTTAAGTAGGCGAAATAGCTGGGCGAACGGTGAACGACAGCATCGCGCAATTCGGCGAAGTTTGCCGTTCGCCGGTATTGTATTTCAAGCATAATATTGGTCGCTATATGAATGCAAACGTAATGTACATGTATGTATGTATGTATGATAAAGAGTTGGTGAGGACTAATGCTATCATCGTTAGTATTATATTGTAGACGGCAATGCAAATATCGCGCAAAATATATGATGTAGATATGTACTTAACTATATGGATGTATGTACATACATTAGGCATATGATTTATAAATTGGCACCCAATTCATAAAAAATGTTGAAAAATTTTAGCTGCTTTATAAATCGAAAATTTGTATGAGAATGTCACTTTATAAAGCTCTTTAAATCTATTTTATTATTCTATCGAATAAGGCCAGACTTTTTTATGTGGGTGTTTCCATGATATCGGACCTGACATTCGTCCGACATTAAAGTTAAAAAAATCATACGAATACGGAAGTCACTTGTAAAAAAAAAAAATTGCCGTTGTGTAGCTTTGATACCGTCCTTTGGTTGACAAAAAAATTAGATGCGAATGCTGTTGTCGAGAAAATCGAAGAAAAGATGGCCAGGTGGGAAATTCCAAGTGAACGAATCAAAAAAGTTGATTTTGTATCGTTGTCATGAAATTTTCTATGCATATTGTTAGCCGACTTCAAAAATGGTGGAACATTTTTTCCCCTTTTTTTTGTTTATCCTAAAGGTGGTACCTCAAGGTTCCATACTAATTGAGTTTAGTTCCTATCACTGGATTGAAGAAACCAAAGGAGTCCTAAATTGTTATATGAGAATTGAAGTCGTGTTTTTGTTTTACTTAAAAATTAGTTGTTTTTTTTTTAGTAAAATTCTTTTTCTTTCTCGGAGTTTCCTCCGGGAACTTTTTGTAGCACATTTTGACAAAAACGCTATTTTTATTGGTTTTTCATCATTCTTCATTCGCTCCTCAAAATTATATTTAATTAAAGAACAAAGTCAAATGCCTAATGTATGTATGTACATACTCCTCAAATCTATACACGCGCCACCGTATTGTTTGGCTTTGTACAAATCGCGCACACCGTCTTCAAAAGAAACACAACTCAAAATTTTGAATTTTTGAATTTATGCGCTAAAAATGTACACAGAATTTTTATTTACTTTTCAGCAAAAGCTGGAGCAAATTTTTGTTATAAATTGTTAAAAAAAACCCTGAGGTAAAGTCGCCCTTGCCCATATGATCATCATGTGCTAAGAAATAGTTTTTCGCATTTTCTGACAAACGTATTATTTTGAGTTGTGACTCTTTTGAAGAGGGTGTGCGATATGTATACATATAATATTTTTTGTAAGCAGACTTGTGTGTTTACTTTTGAACGATCCGCTTGGAAATCATCAGCATTAACTAGAATACGAGCTGGTTTTTTCCGCTGACTTAAGACATGGTCAGTTGGTTTGCTGGCAACTTTTATACATACATATGTGTGCAAATTCTATTTGGGTGGGATTTTTATATTTATTTATCATCTCATTTAAAAGATTTGATTCAGGTTTTGTTATTCTCTAAACTGTAAAATGGTCAAAGAATGAGGCACTTTATTATTATTATTTTAACACAGGATTTCGTTATCAACTTGTTTTTACCCATTTTATTATTTTCGCGTGTTGCCAGTCGATTTGTTTACAGAAATTATAAGCCGTTAGAATTGAAATTAAAAACATTTTGCCTTAAGCTGATGTCACATAAAACTTTTGCTTCGCTTTACGTGACAGAT